CAACAGAAGTTGGCACGTTTGCTACTAAGACACTTTGTATAAACTTGTATTAAACTGAACATTCCTACTTCCAGCTGAAGTGTTAAAATGCTGCACCGCTAGGATGCAGCACAAAATAACATCACAGACCTCCTCCTCAGGCTGCTCGAAAGGTGCATCCTCCTCTTCGGCAGGAAGCTCCTCTGGATCCTCCTCTATCACCTGAAACATCAGAGATCAGCCAAAGATTACCGGCTCTGTGCAAACTTCACACATTAAACAAAACATTTATATAAACTGCAAGGCAAAGTTTAAAGCCAAAGGAAAGGCTAGATCCCAGGCATCCTCTCTACAAGGTAAGATTCGGATGAGATTTCGAGTCGTTTCAAAAAAGCAGAATAAGAATAATCGATTAATCCTAATTAATCTGTCTGCTTCAGCCCTACTCTGCAGCAATCCCTCAAGCTGTGCATGCAAGCAGCGAAAGTGGAAAGTGTCTTTTAGCAGGAAAGAACCTCTAGCAGAACCAGAACCAGGCTTAGTGTGAGCTGATCTGTCAAGGCTGACTGTGGTTCAAGGAGAGAGAAGCTGATCCAGTTGAACTTTCAGAGATAGCAAAATTATTGTCTTCATCTAAGCCTTTAACTTGTATGTTGGATCCAGTTCCAACCAGGTTATTTAAGTAAGTTTCCCCTTTGATCTCCTCCTCCATTTAGATGTGATTAATCTATCTCTGTTACAGGGATATGTACCAAAGGCTTTTAAGATTGCTGTAATTAAACCTCTGCTTAAGAAACTGTCTCTTGACCCAGATGACTTGGTCAATTATAGACCTATATCCAATCCTCCTTTCTGATCTAAAATTCTTGAGAAAGTAGTTGCCAAACAAGTGTGCGATCACTTACACCATAATGAACTTTTTGAAGACTTTCAGTCTGGCTTTAAAGCTCATCGTAGCACTGAAACATCTCTGGTGAAACAAAGTCCAGAAGTCGTTCCTCTTATGTTTTTTTTTTATTCTGTGGGAAGATAACTCTCTTCTCTGTATAGATAGGCTGGGCAGCTCAATGTCTGCTGACCCGCTTAGATATCTGATGTTCTAGGTCTGTTTCATCTCTTGCTAATTAAACTGTTTTCTAGGGATGCGTCTAGCGATGAGAAAACCTATTTTGCTGCTAATAAAACTGTTCAGATGAAAACAAGAGGGAGACAGTGATCTGGCTGTATTTCAGTCTGTTTCTCAATTTTTGCAAGAATATTTTAAAAGTGTGATGAGGAACACCAACATACTGGCAGTTTAAACATCTATCTAGAATGAAAGAACCATACAGAACAGCTACAGAGTTAGAGATTCATTCTTAAAACACTTTTGACTGTTCAGACCTCATTGATCTCCAGTTCTGGCTCAGACTCAGCGGGTACTTCAGGATCAGGTTCTAGAACAGAGAAGCAGAGATGTGTAATTTACTGGGAGTTCAATGCATCGAAAAAACATTTAAAATCTCCTAGGTGGCCTCAAATCCCAAATAGGTCCAAAACAAAAAAATACCTTAGTCCATTATTAGAACAGGTCTTCAAGTTGCCTACCATAAAATAAGGCCCGAAAACAGGACAAGAAAAGAAACAACCACTGTTATTTATGTTAGAGGATCACTTAAAAATTTAACAGAGCTCATAGACCATCAGCTGCTGAGAAGAGAGATAAAAGTGAGGCCAACTCAGACTAATTAAAAACGGCATGATTAGAGCCTTCTTAACAGAATAGCAGGGAAAGTAATAGTAATATTAATAATAGGGCTGTCAAACAATTTGTTTTTTAAATTAATCTCAGAAGCTTAATAGTTAACTGTGATTAATTGCAGACTTAAGAGTTTGAATTGCATCTCTTACAATACTGTTAATTTGCCTTTAACCTTTTAACCAATCAAATAAGCCCAGAATTTTATTTTTAACCTTTTTTATTAAAAAAACAAAAAGTGCAATTCAGGCAAACTTCCACATATTAAAGGGTGACTTTGAGAGATTAAATGGGATATCAGGATACTATCTTAAGCTCCTTCAGAAATTAAGAAGAACACCATAAGAAAAACTTTTGGGTTGTTTTTTTTACACCTGCAGCTTTGGTCCGTTTGGGTCAGTATGAAAGCAGAATCGGACTCTAGAAGAGGAGTGCACTAATCCATGTCTGAAAACAACCATAATCTGGATGTAGAATATAGTCTTTTATTATAGACAGAAATGAACGTTTTGGTCTCATGGTTAAGGAGCACCAATCTGCACCTTCTAGTGAACTGGGCAGATTTTTCCATTCAGTGTCTTCAGCGCATCAGCATATTATATTTACGCTACAGCCACGTTTCATTTTCAGACACTATCATTTGCCAATGGTAGTTCATGCAAACCTTATAGAAAAAAAGGCGAGAGCGCACAGTGTCCATCATGAACATTTTAGCCATTTACCTCTGGATCTTAGCACATTGTCATGGAGACATTATTCCCAGGAGAGCAAAAAAAAAAAGGCTGTTTAAAACTCAGATTATACTTTTTCATCGATCAACTTTTACCGCTTCACAAAATGGACAAAGGCACTTAGTCAATTCAGGATTCAGTCTTAAATGCGATAAATAAAATAACGCATTATGAATACTTTTTAATTAATTGTGATTAATGCATTAACCATCATAGCCCTAATTAATCATGGCTATTCAAAAAAAAAACTATTTGCAGACAGTC